TACTGGTTAATTAAATGTTTGTGTAGAATAGTAATATCGAAAAATAGTGATGGCAAGTGCAGAGCAAAGGAATCGGCCACTTGTTTTTTGGAAATGCCAAAATTATCTGTGCAAGTGAGAAGTGCAAAAAAGCGCGTGGTATTTAATGAAAGAAGGCATAATTCTAGCCGGAGTGATCTCAGAATTTAACTAAAATAGTGTTGGATTAGGCGGATAAGCGTGTTTTCACGCTAAAATACAAATAGATGAATCTGCAAAATACTAAGCCCAGTTTATGAAGTAACATATCCGTTTCGTCTTCAAGGACTGAAAAAAAAAGCCAGAATTGGTTAATCCAAAGAGCTGTTATACGACTTTCTGCTGCAGATTTCTGGAAGAAAGTATTACGATGATGACCGTTTAGCTAAAATTCTTGTATTCGATTGTACTCATTGGGAAGGTGTAGCTCTTCTATCTTTCTAGTACGGATTTTGTTAAGCTCGTAAATCCACTGATCATTCCAGATTCAACCATTCGCGGTGGTCCAATTGGAGGGCAGACGCGCGTGACCTACAGGAATGATCATATGTTATATGCCTGCTTTTGGTTAGTTAATTACAAATTTGAAGGTCTGACGTTTTAACAGCAGATGATATGATCATGATCAAATCCCAGTACGGCTTCCTGTGTGCTCCGTAACCGGACCCTAAGCTAGTAGCATCTCGAGTCCGATATTTTTGGAACTTAAATGCAGTTAATATGTAATTACCGGCCATTAAGTTTAACGAAGATATATGTATCACTGTGATTTAGAAAGCGTAGATGCTAAAAGCAGAGTGACGAATGTCAAAATCGTCAGCAGGTTGACCACCTAACAATTCTCGGTCACAGTACCCATGGAAAAGTGCCTTAACAGGAAAAAAATAAATGGCCAACGCACCGACTGCCGGTGCGAAGATGCGTTTTTTGCATAGTTCCTCGCAGGTTTTTGTCACAGACAGCACCGATTTTTTCTGCAGATGCTTCTCACTAAACGAATTGAGACTGGCCGCCGGGACTGTCAGGAAACATTCCTCTAAAATTCCAGTTTTTTAATTTCGCTGTCCCCCTATTTAGTAACTTAGCTGCGAAAAATTTTATGGGTTCGTAGGTGGGAATCACGCATACCCGGTGTCTGGGTTTGAGCTCATTAACACCTACGTGGACGGGGAACATCCCCTTAAAATTCTAGTCTTCTAGCTTTTCAGGTTCCCGGATTAGCAACTTACCCGCAAGAACTTTCGCAAATCCGTACGTGGGAATCACGCGGGTAAGAGCGCCCATTTTGGGAATGGGGCCCGTACGTGCATATAAATATAGTTCTCAAAGTTTCAGCTGTGTAGCTTTTGTAGGTCTTGAGATGAAAAATCGGCACAGACGAACACACAGGCACACACAGACAACTCCTAGTCAGTATGCGTTTTATGCATTGCATAGTTGAAAAAAACGCATAAAAATGATTGCTCATGACAATATTTTTATGTGCTTGGAGATTCACACTTTATGTCTAGCAGGATTTTTCTATTTGCAGGTTTTGCATTGGTGCGGCGACACTGTATGGCTGGTTCCTTTGAACGCTGCAGTTACTTCTGCGCTTCTGGTTAGGTATCTAGCAATTGCGGAATACTCTGAAACGAAACAAGTGATTCGTCGGGGGCCTTCGATCTTTGAGTTTCCGCTGCATGTAATACCCTAGGCACGCACTTTATGCAAAACCTCATTTTGTAGAGTTGCCTTGCCGCTAACGTTTTCAAATCATTAATCTGTAGCTTAATTTCTACTAATCCTGCAGGGCATACGTCTGCACTTAAGTGACATAAGATGAATTTGCAAACGAAATGCTGATAAGTCAAATAAAATTTTTTTTTTTTTTTTTT